AGAATATTAGCGGTTTTTCCCTCTTTTTTTAAGTTTTAGACGCAGAAGACTCGCTCAAAATCTCGCTTAGAACCTTGAAAAATTATTTTCTGTAGGTTTGACAACGTGCTCTTTCATTTGGACAGGTGAAGGAAATTTTTTAGTGACAATGGTTTTTCGATTGAAAAACCAAGATCTTTAAAAAACGGGTCTTTAAATCGAAAGCGGGCAAAAACCATTGTGATATTCGGAATCAGGACGTTCGATTACCTATTGTCAACGGAGTTTAAGCTCAAAAGCGAGGAGGCAGTTGGTGGCCTTCCCTCGTAAGCTTTTCAAATACAAATGTGACTGTTGGAAAAACGACCATTAGAAGTCATGGCATGATAAACTAATGACTCTTGACTCACAAAATCAAGCATCCATATCGACTATACAGTTTAATACGAAAAATAAAATCTAAAGACAACTTCACATTTTTCTAATAAAGAAAATTCGATAAATATTAACGATCGCGTACTATTACTTATTAGAAGATCTCCATTTGTATATTTTCTTGTTCTATAGTAAAATCTAGCAAATAAAAGTAAGTTAATGAATGAACATAAAATTGCATCGATGAGCCGAAAATATTAACTTTTATCAGATGTGATCATCCAATTGTAGTCTTTGCTATTTATACAAAACACTGCGTGAATTCTCTCTTTCACTGCCGTAAAATATCCAGTCAACATCTAATCCATCACTCGATACTTGAATTTGATTTTCATTACAATGAAGTGAGAGTGTATGAAGCTTAAATTGTCCTTGTTTATGTTCGAATGTTATCCCATCATCGTCATAGAACGGAAATGTTGTTGTACCATTAATTTGATAAGAAAATGCATGAATTTCTAATCTATCGTTTCTTCTCATCGGTATTAATGCACCTTCTCTTGCAAATAACGGAAAAACATTCAATGGTGAATCAATCGTTACTGTCTGCCCACCATTGTAAAATGTGCCAGTATGAAAATTGTACCATCCATTACCTATTGGTAAATAGATAATTCGTTTAGTAGCATTTTCTTCATAAACAGATGCGACAAGAAGCCATTTTCCAAGAAGAAATTCATATGATTGTTCATAACAATTTGGATCATGTTGATAATGATAAACAGTTGGTCGAGTTACTGGTGAACCGGTCTGAGATGTTTCCCATAATAAACAATAAAGATAGGGTAATAAACTCGTTCTAAAATTGAGAGCTTCATGAATAATTGGAAGCATGTTAGGGAACATCCATAGTGCATTTTCTTCACCGTTTATACGCCATGAGTGAACGCAAAAACGTGGATAAAATATTCCATTTTGTACCCATCGGACGAAAAGTGCCGGAGATGGTATATCTCCTGTGAAACCGCCAACATCATTACCATAAAATGAAATACCACTAATCGATAATCCGAGTCCCATTGGTATATTATATTTTAGTGTATGATACGAACAACGATTATCTCCTGTCCATGTCCATGCATAACGTTGCAGACCAGGTGAGCCAGCACGTGACAAAACAAATGGACGAAGTATACTATTATTCTTAATTTGTGCATCGTACGAAGCTTTTACCATTAGTAATGTTTGAATGGGTCGTAAACCTTCAATTGGTAATGAATGTCCAAAGTTATTACAACGTGCTTGACTATCACGAATGTTGAATTCATTGTTGTCATTCCACGTATAATCGACTCCATAAAAAAGTAATTGTTCTTGAATCTTTTTTTGCCACCATAAAATTGTTTCAGGATTTGTAAAATCTAAATGTGATCCAGTACCACCCCAAAATGGTTGTAAATCTGGCTCATTAGTTAGACGATTTTTAATAAATAACTGATGACATTCTTCGTATAATGGATGTGTGTTTAATAAGGCTGGTTTAATATTGGCAATTACTTTCATATTGGTATTGTGAAATGTTTCTGTCATTTTAGACGGTAACGGTATACGACTTTTATTCCATACCTAAATGTACATCGATCGATACATTAAAGAAAATTTAAACAAAAAAAGAATACATACAAAAACATATCGTTTACCATCATCACTCATTGAATAACCGGATGATAAATGGAATCCTGTACAAGTAATATTTGTTTGTTCACATTTTTTAACAAATTCAGCTAACATTTCTTGAGCATTTGGTGCATCTGTATATTTCATCGCTGAGCCAAGATATCCAAGCGTCCATTTTGGCGGTAACGGTGGCCGTCCTGTCAGATTAGTAAAACGTTCAACAACATTGCTTATCAATGGTCCATAAATAAAATAATAATCCAGATCATAATCAACTGTTTCGAAGTAACGAATATCCCCATAGTAATTGTCTATTTCACATCCAAAATCGAACGTGCAATCAAACGATGTATCATAAAATAAACCAAACCCCTCACACTCTCTTAAAGTAATATAAAACGGGATGTGTTTGTAGAGTGGATCCGATAATTCAGCATTGTATCCAAATGCATCGGTATTTCTCATTCGATATCGGCGTCCATTTTTGACCATTGGTCCAGATTTCTCACCTAATCCATAATAATATTCGTTAGGGAATCTTGAAAGTGTATGACGACGAGACGGAGTGAATTCATATGGAATTAAATGATTATCTGTAGCGAGAATTAGATCAGACGAAGCATTTTTCCATGTTATAGCAAATTTTCGATAAAGATTGATTTCTAATTTTAAATTACCAGTGAAAACTGTCAGATTTGTTTTATCAACAGTATAATTGATTTTCATTGATATAATATCATCATGACGTTTGTTCCCTTCAAATGGAACGTCTTCTGCTTGAGAAGAATTGATAATGGACCATGTTCGCTCAGTAAGTGGTTTTCCTTGAGGCCATACTCGAATTCGGACAATGTTCTCCTCCACAATAGTAATCACATATTTAGTATCGTTTTGATGAGTAAAGATAATACTGTTATTTATTATTTCATACTGAAGAGGAGACGATTGTTGAATTGCTTCGCTACTAACTACGTCAGAGATCATGCTGAAACAAAAAATATGGATGTCTGATAAAATTTTGGCACAATATTTTTACTTGGTAGCGATTTTAAAATAAAATGAATGGAAATAGCATTACTATATTTTTCTATAGAAGCGACTTTGGACTTCAGATAACATTATTTTTAGTCTATATTATCCATGAAACGGAAACTTTGTTTTTTATACATCTTTGTTTTTTACTCTTAAAACGGTAAAATTAGATTTTTTTATTATTACAACACAAAAATCTCTGATTGTTGGCAGATTTTGACAAAAATAGTTCATTTTTTACCTACTGCACACAGTGGGCATTTAGGCGGCATTTTCTGAAAAAATCGTAGGTACGAAATTTTCTGTTTTGAATAGCGGTATATATAGTGTAAACAATGCCCTATTTAACAGTGAAAAAAGCTAGCTAGCTGCTTCCAAAGTGGAGAAAACCAAGTTAAAAAATTACTAGCGGAATAGGCGTGTTGGTATTTAAAATTGCATTTTCTCCATCAAATTTGAATTTTTTTTGAAAAACAAACACTGATATGGAATCGTCAGCTGGTGGGCTTTG